GCACGGGCCAGCTCCCGGCGTGGATGCCACCGTCCCATGGACCTCACTCACAAAACGGAGCTTCCAAGACCAAACGAACGTCACATCTCAACGCGCTGCCCACGGAGCATCAACCCCAAGTGTGGGCCCTCCCGAGCTCGGGGCTCTGTGGCACTGCACGGGGCCTGTCCTCCTCCAGGTCTCAGCTTCGACATCCCGCCCCGGACCCAGGACCAGCCCGGGTGCTCGCCCAGGATTGCTCGGTGTCCCCCAGCCTCACCCATGTCCCTCTCATCAGTCAGCTTGACCGTCACTCCCTAGAGAGTGGGTTTGACGAAGTCGCGTGAAGACAGGGACTAGGTCGCCTTTGTTCAGAGTTCTGTGCCCAGTGGGTGCCAAGGCTACGACGGGCACTTGATACGCATCTGCTAAAGGCCGGAGAAAGGCAGTGCAGAGTTAGCACCGGGGCCTCGCTTCCTAAAACCTACGGTTCCTTTGGAAACCCCCAGCCTTTCTCAGACACCCGCCAGGCAGCCCCCGGGTCGGAGGAAGGGGGCTCCCTGCTTCCCGTCCTCCCTCCTCCCCCTGCCCTCTTAGGAGTTTTATGGAGAGAACACGCCATGAGCAACTGGCTGGCAGGGGCCTCAGGGAGGGGCTGGCGGTGCTGCCCCGGCCCCTCCTGGTCACCATGTCCCACCGAGCTGCACGTCCCCTCTTCCGGAAAACCCTTGGCCCATGTCTGTGAGCTCTAGACCTAACCCGAGGTACGGCAACTGCAGCCCACAACCTGGAGGGCCACACACAGGGCCACCGGCACACCCTGGCAGCCATTTTGTCTCCAGAAGCGGACCGCTAAGGTGTAATCCGATACCCTTCGCGGAGGCCTGGGCCACTTGTCCCAGTCCTCAACTCCTGGGTCTGAGGCCTTGAAAGGGGGACTCCGTGCAGGGTGAGGAGGGCCCGGGGGCCGCCATGGCCCTGCCCTGGTCAGCCCCGCTCTGCCTGCCTGTGCTGGAGCTCACAGCGAGCACACGTTCAGTATCGCAGAGACAGACCGCACAGAGACCCGCACACAGGCAGGCAGAGACAAACGCCCTGTGCTGGGCCCGGGCGCAGGATCCCGGCCTCCCTCGCGCCTGCAGGTTCAGTGGGCAGGCAAGGCCCTGCTGTGACGGTGGCGCCGCCGTTCCCAGCCCACCGAGGGCTTCCCTTGGTCGCACGGGGTGCTGAGACCTGAGTGAGACCCTCCCACAGACAAGATGTGAGGGGCCTTGGGAAAGGGACCGAGGGTCCCTGACCTCAGTCTCCTCGTCTTTGAAATGGGCCTGATGATGTCACCTCCCAGAGTGTTAACTTACCCCCAGGAGTAATCCCGGGGCTCACGTCATGCAGTAAACTATTTAGCAGAGAGTCTGTGCTTACGAACCAGCATCATAAATGCTGACCGTTACGTTACCATCCAGCTGTTGGGTGAGTGTGGGCCTGTTCCTCTCTCAGGTGAGGAGGAGGTAGGACAACCCAGCTTGAACGTCCCTACAACTTTGGCCTTGCGTGGTTTCAGGCGCGTTTGGTGGGGAGGGGAGATGTATACGTGTATTATACACATTCCAGAATCTTCCCTCCGCCCCCAGATCACCCTCCGCCCCCAGATCACCCTCCGCCCTGAAGACGCGCTTCCTGGGGCACAGCCGGGGAGGGGGAATCGGGCTTCGATCTGCGTGGCTCGCCAGCAGGCCTCAATCAGCCTCAGTTTCACATCTGTCAAAGGGGCTACTTTCCAGGGAAGCTGTGCAGATTAAATGAGTTGACTCCTACAGGTGCTTAGAAGGTGCCTGGGCCCCGGGGCAGCCGCTGGGCGCTGGCTGGTGACAATCCAGGATCCCGCACAGGCGGCGTTGTGCCCTGCAGGCCACTGGGAAGACAAGGTCTGTGTGCATCTCAGCTGCACCCCCGGCCCAGCAGGGCCCCTGGGGGCCTCCCCGCCTGGGGCTGCAGGCCCCGTCTTACCAGGCCCAGGTTCAGGGAGTTGTTGTCATCCTCGGGCATGGGCAGGTACACGGCCAGGGCCACACAGTTGGCAAAGATGGTGAGCAGGATGATGGTCTCGAAGGGTCTGGCGTCGGGGTTAAGGAGGCATGGTGTTTGCGGGGTTGAGGCGGGGAGAGCGTTAGGTCCGTGCGGACCAGGACGGCGGTGCCAGGCTATGGGCAGCGCCTGGGGACTCTCCTCCCACTGCCCCCTCCCTACTCTGCAGCCCACCCCCACTCCTCAGAAACAGGGAACTTCCTCTTCGTCTCTCTGGGCCTGCAATGGCCCTGTGCCCAGCTGTGGGTTAACTGCCTTCAGGGCCGGAGGCCCTAACACTGCTCCGCGCCAGGTGCACGCACTTGGTCCCGCCGCCTCCTCTTCCTCTTTGGAGCTATGACTCTGGGATTCTGGCCAGCGTACCCGCACGAGCTCCCCCAGAGAAACAGGCAGGCCCCAGGCTCAGCACCCACACCCAGGGCTGGGAAAGGGAGGGGATGGCCAGATAAAGGCTGGTTCCCAGAGGCGGGTGGGGTGTGTATACTCCCACCCAGCCACACATTCACACATCGCACCCCCTGCCCCGCCATGGCACCCCCGGCCCTGCCATTCTGCTTTCTGGACTGGCCGGCCTTAGACAGCCAGCGCAGGTGCGGGAGAAGTTAGGGGAGGGGGAGTGTGAGTGGCTGGGGTGCAGTCTGGGGAAGCGGCCAGCAGGCAGACCCTGCACAGGGTGGGATTGGAAAAGCCCCTTCTGTTCCAGCAGCCTCCAGCAGCCGAGAGGAGAGTCAGGGCGGAGGCCAAGAGAGGAGCAGCAGGAAGGCAGGAGGCAGGGGGAGGACCGGGAGCCCAGGTGAGTGTGCTGAGGTTCCGGGCTTGTGCGCTGCAGGAGCGGGGCGGACCCTGGCCCCACGCTGTCTCTCTCCTCTGCTATCTCGGCCCTCTCCCTGCATTTGCCTTTCTTCCAGGGAGCAGCTGGTGGCAGCCCAGCCTTCCAGAGCCCTTCAGAAATATTTCAAATACCCCTGACGCGCCCTCAGCACCCACCCTGCACAGGCCTCCCCTCCTCTCTGGAGCGCCTTACCCCTCCCCCCAAATAACCCTGGGCATTTTCATCATTCTCCCCCCACCACCCCGGAGCTCATGCAAACACCGAAGGGATCTGCAGTCCCTGCCTGGGGTGGGGTCTCAGCCAGATCAGCCCGGCTTGCTGGCCTGCGTCTTGGAGCCGTGGGGGGCGGAACTCCCCACAACCCAGGCCTCCAGCCGTCCCAGTGCCACCCCCTTCACCATCAGACCCCCTCGATGGGGGGGTTTTCTCAAGAGGCCATCACTTCCCTTTCCTGCCCCCTTTCCACTCCCCAAGAAACCGCTGCTGCCAAGACCTCCGTGGTGCCCCCGGTCCTGCAGATTTGGGCACAGCTGGCAAGCGTCCCCGTGAAACAGGCCCAGCCATCGACGGTCAGGGCTGTCACCCAGGACTAGGGCTGCCCACTGGGGCCCCAGGATATCCCACCAATTCTTCCTCCTCTCCCTCCCCCCACCACTCCGCCAAGTAAGCCCGGGCAGTGCCCTGGGGCCCTCGGAGTGCGCTCCATGCCCCTCCCCGGTAGCACGAGCTGCCCAGGGCCCGGCCGAAGGATACTTCCATTCCACGATGCTGATGCACGCCTTCCTCAGCGGGTTCTGCAGGGTCAGGCAGAACAGAGCCCGCGGCGGCCTGGGCAGGACCTCGGGCAGGGGCTTCTTGGGCTGTTTCTTCCTCAGGCCCTCATCCTGGGGTGAGGATGGCTCCATGGCTTCCCTGGCCACGGCGCTTCCTGCTGCTCCCCCACCCCGCGGCCCTCTCTTCCCTGCGTCCCCAGTGTTCCCCGCCTTGGGGACTGGGCCGCTGAGCTTGCCGGGCGAAGCCTGCCCTGCTGAGCCAGCGGGGTGGGGGCGGGAGGATTATGCTAGCTGCTCCCAGCAGTAAAATTAGCCTCCCCTCGGCTCCCTGCTGTCCAGGCCAGGCAGCTGTCACTCCTTCCAGCCCAGCCAGTGACATCCCAATCTGCCCCTGGGAGGGGTGGGGGTTGGGAGGGGAACTCGAATACAGCCTGAGAGGGACAGGGGCAGTGAGAACCTGGGGGGGCCGTGCAAGGCAGGGGCAGGTGCTGGGTGGCCTAACCCATCTCAGGCCTGCCCAGGCTCACCCCAACCCATGCATGCCCCCCCGTGAGGTCATGGTGGCCCTCTTCCCATGGGGTGGAAGGAAGGCTCCTGGGACATCCTGGAGCCTGCACACTGCGGTGACGCCCTGCGCCACCTGCGCAGGGGCTGAGTGTCTCATCTCTGGGCCCTGGGGCCCTTCCTGCACACTCCCTGGCATATGCTAAACTCTTTGCAGCTAGTAGGAGAACGCTAGAACCAACAGGAGACGCCCACACACGCTCCTAGCGCTATTGGGGCCACATGTGGGCACCAGGGCCGGTGAGGGTAGGGGGGACCCAGAAATCGCAAATTCAGCAGTCCTTTTATTGGGTGCAAACACGGTACCAGTGTGTCCCCCGACGCTTACGGTCTCCGGGCAAAACCCGCAGTCCTTATCCAACCTGGGCACCAGGACAGGCCCTCAGGACGGGGTGGGAAGAGCAGGACTTCGGAGGCAGCCAGCGCAGCCGCCAGCGCCCACACCTCGCCTCTTCCCACGCCGGTCAGTCCCACCTGGGCCACGAGGAAGCCCCGGCCAGGGCGCCCCGCCCGCCCTCTGAGGTCCTCTCTCGCGGGGTCGCTAATATTTGAAGCCATCCATGGAGAGTGGTGGCATGGCCCTTCCGAGACTCCGGCTCGCCTGAGCGAGCCTGAGTGGCCTGCGGCCACGGAGGACGGAGCCACAGGGGCCAGCTGGGCTCCGATCTTCCCCAAGCCCGGGCCGAGGCAGAAGCGAAGGTGGAGCCGGACGGGCTCCTCCCGTCTCTACGGCGCTCGCCGCCCCCCCTCCCCGCCCCTCCGTCCGGAGCTGGTGGGTTGGGAGGCTGTCGTGGCCACGGGCGGGGTCTGCGGCCTCGGGCCGGGTCACTGGCTGGATTCCTCGTTCTCTAAGAAAGGAGAGGAGGAGAAGCGGGAGGCGTCGGCCGCCTGGGGCGGCGCGCAGGCCGGGCCGTCGGGCGGGGCGCTCAGCAGCTCCTGCAGGTGCTTGATGTAGCGGATGGCGGCGCGCAGTGTCTCCACCTTGCTCAGCCGCTTCTCGGTCAGGGCGCCCGGCAGGTGCCCGCGCAGGCGCGCGTAACCCTCATTGACGCACTTGACCCGCTGCCGCTCGCGCTCGTTGCGCTTCTGGATGAAGGCGGGCTCGAAGGGGTAGTCGTAGACCCCGAAGGCCCCGGGGAAGGGCACGTAGGGGAACACCCCCGCGTAGGCGTCGCAATAGGGCGGCTCCGCGGGGCCCGGGTACAGCAGGAAGGGCGCGGGGCCCAGGGGCTCAGCGGGGGGCAGGGGCGCCTGCGGGGGCGGGGGCACGACGCCCAGCTGCATGCAGGTGGGGGCCCCCATGGGCCTCCGGTCCACCAGGGCGTGGCAGAAGTTGTTGTTCATGGTGCCGCGTGGAGCGGGGCCCAGAGTGACACCCTCACCAGGCTGCACCTGCTGGGGCTCTGCCGGGTCCTGGCCACGGGGACCAGTCACATCGTCAGCAGCCACTCCCAGAGCTTGCTAATGCCTCTTCCCGCCCTTTGGGGAGGCTCCCCAGGACTCCCTAAGGCGAGCCATGGCTCAGCACGCATGTGGCCCCGCACGGGGGCTCAGCGGGTCCCCTCTCCAATCCGGCACGGAGCACTGCGCAGCTCTGAGGGCCCGCGCCCTTGCCCTCGGCGCCCATGGGCGGGCGACTGACCCGCGCCGCTGCCTGCCTCCTGGGGCACGGGCGCCTCTACAGGCACTAACCCCCAGTCCCCCCAGCCTCTTCTCCCCCAGTGCAGGTTCTTGATCCTCAAGGCTTTCGGGATCCCCAGGCTGTCCAGGGGTCACGAGCTGGCGGCTGCTCTTCTCTCGCGAGGGCAGGGGCTCAGCACAGAGTGTCCGGGGAGGGCCGGTGTGTCTGAGGAGGAGGGGAGAGTGAACATGTCAGTTAGGAAGGGTGGACAGTAGGGGCTTCTAGGGGCTACCCCCTTGCCCCGTGGGGCTGGAAGCATCTGACTGAGGCCCTGTGACTGCCGGAGAGGCCAAGATCGGGGTTCGAATCGTGCCTTCACCCTTTGCTACTTTGGTGACCCTCAGGAAAGCATCCTACACAGCAGGTGAATTACATACGAGAATCAGGTGGAAACAGCCCCAAACACCTCCTGCAGGCTCACAAAAGACCGGCGATTCATTTCCTTTGAGAATGGGGCATCCTCCGGGGCCTGACCTCCAAAGGGGTTCAGGAGCCCCCAGGTCAGCGCCCGGCAGCACCTGAGGGGGATAGCGCTGGGGAGGGCTACCAACTGCCACAGGGCGCCGCCTGGCGGAGAGACGCCCGCGGAGGCCTGGCCTGGCCCATCGTGGTCCTGGATCCGCGCTCTCCCGGGATGGGGTGGAGGGCGCCGGGTTTCTCCTGCATGGCACTTTCACTGCTTCCCTTCTGTGTGCCCAGAGCCCGAGCCCACCCCTGGCAGGCGAGAGGTGCCACTCAGATCGCCGTGAAATAACAGGGAGGATTAGGCAGAAGGCTGGGCTCGTTGGGGTGGGGCTTAATTACACGGAGCCTTTCCCGGGCTCGCGGAAGCTGTTATTTCAGAAATGAGTGGTTTGAGCTGAGCCAAGTGCCACCAAGCAGTTATCACGCCGAGGTAGGTGTCCCCTTGCCCCACGCCCCCCTTCCTGCGGTCCACACCTCAGCACTCAGGGCTCCACCGCTGTTCCCGCCGAGGAAGGTGCTCAGGTGCACTGAGTGAGTGAGCGGGGGCGCTGTGGCCCACAGGAGGGCAGCCAGGGCCGGCTCCCTCCTGGCCTGGGGCAGTCCCAGGCGTGTCTCCCCCTGCACCCTCTCGCTCTGTCCTTATGCAGCCCCCGACCCTGCTCCCAGCTGCCTTTGTCCTCCACGAGAGCCAAGAACAATCATCAGTGGCTGCAGACATCACGGAGACTTGGGCACGCTCTCCAGGGGCAGCAGACCTGTAGGACATCCGGGCAAATGCACCTGCTCCTCCCCTTCTCCATGGGCCCTGAACGTTCTAGAAAATCTCTCCCTCACAGACCTCTTGTTTTGTAACAGTGTGGCATCCAAACTACTCCGTCTCAAGATTCCTACCTATTCCTATTTAGTTATTCAATTTCTTGGAGACTAGAACTTCTAGTCCAGCATTGGAGGGAACACACCTGCTCGTGCACTTGCGTCCAGTTCGAGTCCCCTGTGCCTTGCCAGGGTGCAGCACGCTGTCATCAAGCGGCACCACAGCCGCTCAAGGAAAGCTTGTGTTCGCGGAGGGCCTTCAGCCTGGGGGGCTGGGATAGGGCTGGAGACCCACGCCGTGGAATCCTTGGGAGGATCCCGGCCGTCGTGCCTTCCTTTTGCTGTGTGGGGCACGGCGTCCCTTGTCCTCACACCCTGCCTGTGAGCCGGCTGCTCCTGTTACCCAGCCCTGCAGGTGCGGCCCCGAGGTGCATAAAGGATTAATTAAGTCGCTTGCCCAGGGTCCCACGGACAGGAATCATAAGCAGATAAATACTCAGCAGCCACCCCAGCTTCCCACGCCCGCCCCCCAGTATTCTGCATCCGGCCAAAGAATCAGGGAGGTTTGCGTGGATGTCATAAAAGGATCCCATTACACCGGGGTTCCTGTCCCCCCACATTACACTCACGGCGCTGCTAGGCAGCTCCTGCCCTGGAGAGAGGAACTGTGGCTACCGGGCGTCCTTGGCAAGGCAGCAGTCCCCTGAGCATGTACTGGGGAGGGTGGTCTTTGGAGTGTATTGTTGGGAAGACTCCTGAGTCCCCGAGTCCCCGAGGGGCGTCTTTGCCTGAACCAAGAAAACCACAGCTAAGTCCCCAGGGAAGCACCTGTGGAGCAAAGGCCCCCGGGGGGAAGGATCTGTCCACTGCAGAAAATCTGCCCTGGGCCCAGCCCAAGGGACCTGGCAGAAGCTGTTGTCAACAGCGCCACAGTGTGGTGGTGAGAAGCAGTGCAGGAGCCAATGGGGACCTTCGAGTTCTGACCCCAAGGGTGGAGAAGTTGCAACTCCCTGTTGCCCTCCCCAAGGCTTTGGAGGAAGTTCAGGGTCAAGGAGAACCCAGACGAAGAGTTACTGGCTGTCTGTCAACATCGCTTTGGATCCCCGAGACTGTTGAATGAATTCACATTCCTTAAACTTTCTTACATATACAGATGAGTAAAATACATACAATTAGACGTGTGATTTGTTTTGCATCAAAAGCAGCCAGCACATCGCATCAGTAAACTTACTGGGAAAAATGAGGTCCTCTCAGTACGTAACAGCTGTCCCTCTGCAAGTGCCCACCTGAGGGTGTCAGGGCGCATGCCCTGGGGAGCCATGGCCTCCTGCCCCTAGGCAGCTGGGTCCACCTTTGGCAGGGGCCCTGGGGGAAGTCCTTGTTTGCCCCGCCCCCCGCCATGCCCCATCCTCACCAGCCCCACCCTACTGTAGCTTAATTGGCTCTGGGGATGTGCTGGGCGAGAGGTACCGGGACTTCCTCCCTAAAGCTACCCGGAGTCTGGGATACATTCACAGTCGTGCCCTGAACACTCATTGTGGAGGTCCCACTGTCCCCCCATGTTGTGCAAAGAGCTCTGTCACCCTCCAACCCACAGGGTAAGTCGTCAGTGGCGGTCTCCATGGCCTCCCCCCTCACCCCCTGGGTGCCTTGCTGCTTCAACGGCACCAGGTAGAGTTTGCCCCACATCAGCCCCTTGCTGTCCCGTGCTGCCAGCCACTCCGTCCACCCACCTGGGATGGCGCATTCCCAAACCTGGCTGCCCAGGGGCCATTTGCCCTGCTGCCCGTCCTGTCCCAGCTCTCTCCCCAGAGCCAGTGTTCGCAGGGCTCCCTCCCTCCTTTCTCCTGGCCATGGACTCTTGGTGGCCCACAGGGAGCCTGAGGGTCCTGTCCCCCGGGGCCAGGTTGTAAACTGCCAGTGTGAGAACTCCCGTCTGACACTCCATCTCTGAAACACAGTGCACAGGCTCAGTAAATGTTTGTTGATTGACAGTGGTGGCAGCTGTGAGCCTCACACAGGCTGGAGTGGCAGAAGCAGAGCACCCCCCTCTGGCTCCCCCCACCATCATCACTGGAACTGTGGCCAGAGCTGGGGGGTGGAGAAGGGGGGAGGGTCTCAGATCTGCAGGACGTGTCCTGTCCAAAAGGGAGCTGGGGGCTCTGGGGCGGCTGGGGGGACAGGGAGTTCTCAGCCGCTGCTTTGCCTGCTCTGAGAGTTTCCGGGAACTCCATGGGGCCACGCTGGAGCTTTTTCGTGGCAGCATGGAGGCTGTGCCCAGAGCCTGCCCATCAAAAAGTGCAAGATCTGTAAGGAGATCGAAGACTCAACATGACCGTTCCCCTGGCCTTGTGGCGTCCTCTCCCCCATCCGCTGCCTCCGGGCAAGGAGGCCACCAATAAAAGCACTCCGTGGCCAAATAGTTTGAGGTCTGCAGTGCTGTGTGCCTCCTTGGAGGTCCCAGAGCACATCCTACAGGAGAGAAGCCCGCGTGGAAACCAAGTCCCAGATGGAGCACAGAGCGCGTGTTACACGTTAGCTTCCAGCCTCAGAACATAGAATACGCTTCAGGAAACTCTGCCTTTAAGGCCCCAAGACTTACTTTTCATAAGAGCTGTCACTCTCTCCCTTGGGGCGGGGCTTCTCCCCCTCTCGCCCTGCAAACATTTCTAGACGTCTAGACGGATACCCTTGCCACTCCTGCCGCATACAGATCGGACCTCAGCAGCTGTCATAGAATCCTGCAGCGAGACAGCATCTGCATCCACGAGACAGGAGTAAGGAGAAGCGGCAGCCAGGCCCCATGAGCCACGTGGCCCCTGGTGCTCCCTCCCTGGGGTGGGTCTCATGCACCTTGCACGTCAGCCTCATGTGCCCCGTGGCCTGCGGATGCAGGCAGCGCCACCCTCGGGTTCAGCCCCCGCATGCCCTCCACGCCTCCTTCCTGCCTCGGGTTTCAGAAACCCCTTTCACCCGGAGAAAAGCGTGGCTGAGCCCTGGCGGGGGGGGGGAGGGGGGGCTGGCTGGCTGAGCCACGCCCTCCCACGGCTTTGCCGAGAATCTGGAGGGAGAGGTGCAGAGAGGCAGGCAAGCCGCTGCAGGTACTCTGCGTGGTGCCCCGCTGCCCTCAGCCCTGCCCACCGCTGACAGGAGGGGGTGTCCCTGTATCGGCTCTCAGGTGAGGAAGTGGAGGTGCGGGGGCCTCAGAGGGCTGCCCAGGGGCGCACAGCTCGGTTCCAGCTCTCCAGGATCTGGCTGGGTTGGTTCACAGCAACCTTCTGGGCTGGGCAGGGTTCTCGTGATTTTTTTTTCTGGGAGTCATGATCGTTCCAGGACCCCTGGGAGGCCAGGCTGGGCGGAGGGCCTTGGTCTTTCCTGGGTCCCTGCCTTTAGCCTGGTGTTTGCAATGCTGGCAGTCACAGGACCACGTTCCTGGAGGCAGCCGCCGCCTCTCCAGGAAGAACGGCGGGCTCTGCCTCCCCCTCCTCCCCAGGACGCCGGGTGGAAGAC